ATCACAGAACCCAGCCCTAAACGCCGCTCTACTTCCATACTGTAGCTTCCATCTCTTGCCGAAACAGAATCGAGGTATTTCAAATTTTCGATCCTCTTCATAATCGCTATACTCCAATCCTCACCCTTTAATCTTTATCCCACCGGCCGTCTTGCACACTTCTCGAGTTAGCGTCGGTAGGTCATTGGTACCATAGATCTGTTACGATAACTGCTTGGCACCTTCGACTGAGTCGTCTGATAACCAACTCCTCGCTGCTGTTGTGGCCGACGTTCCTCCGTATCGTTGAATAATATAACCGAAAGCACCTCTTCTTGGCGCACTCCGCTGTTGATGTTAAACCAGGCTAACGAATGATTCTTTTTCTCTGTACCTTCGTATAGTCCTTGCAGCAGGCCAATGATATCCTGCAGTATTCGATAGTGTCGCAGTATGCCACAGAAAGACTGACGATGTACCGGGTCGAGAGCAGAAGGGAGGTCGAGGAACGCTACATGTGTGCGTGGTTGGAAGCTCCTTCCCTGACGATTATCTTCTTTAGTATGAAGATGTTATTCGTACACGTGATTCCAATTCGTAACCCTGTTTGAACGAATCTTAAACTGCTTTCTTGAGTCCTCAGAGAAGAATTCGCGCAAATATCTATTTCAACACAGGGAGAAGCGTGATCCGGCGCTAGTTGGCGGAATCGGTACCTTTCCGACGTTTGAAGATGGAAATGATCAAGCCCTGCTTCCGGTTCTGAGATATTTCCGACCTTCGCCAGACACTTTCATAAACCAGATGGGTCCAATTCAGTAGGGTTTCGCCTGGGCATCAGAATTTTCTCACTAATCCCGCCCGCAGGATTTCTAACTTTGGCAAAAACGCATGGCTTCTCGGATTTCATCAGTCTATGAAGCAGAGTAGTCAATTTCCGGTTCTTCCCGGTCTTCGAACTCTATTTTCAGGTCATCCACTGGAGAGGGCTTACTTAGGAGCTTTTGAATATTCAGCCCATCTCCTCCGACGACTGTCGGAATCTGGAAGAGGTTCGCTGGACGTGCTGCGTATCAGACAAATGATAGTTTTCAGGTGTCGCAAAGGGAAGCAAATCTTCATTTCATCAGGTCATTAACGTTAAAACCGTTCTGTCCTCTGTCCTCTCTCCATTATTGTTCAATCTGGACGTAACTTGTGCCCAGCTGACCATTCGACTGCCAGTGCAAAATAGGCTGACGACCAAACAACCACTGCACCAGTGGGAAAGGTGCAGGACATGGAAGCCCGTCCAAATGCAGTTTATACCGTCAAACAACTGGTGTCTGATCTTGGCTTCATCTCCGATCTATTCTTAGTCAACAAAATGCTGATTTATGATGAAGAATAGGCGGAGGATGACGCTGCGTCAGATAAGGAACAAGAATATGTGTCAGTGGTGAAACCCTGCCAACAGGAGCGAGGTCAAACACCTGGACATCATGCTGTTTTGAAATTTAAAATGGTCATCTTATGTAGTAGCTGTTTTCAAGGAGATCAGGAAAGCGTTCTATAGAGTGCATTGCCTTATAAGCATCGTTGTACAAACAAGAGTTAAAGAAAAGATTTTTCAACGCATGCAATTTGCCTATTCTGACTTATGCATGTTCAATTGTCTTTCCAAGCATTAACGGCTTTAAACCGATGCGTCTTGCGTTTCCGGTCAACGGGATAAGCTCTAAAACTTTGGGTACGTAGCTGACGAGGCAAGAGCAGTAACTCACCGGAAAGTTCTTAGATGATGCCAGCCACTCATTGAGTGCCTCGCTGTCCAGATGACTCTCGAGACGAACTGGCACCAGATCAGAATATCGATGCATAGCCTCTCATACAGAACTCTGCAGAGAATCCGTTATTGCATTCATGTCGCACTGACTGATTAATTATATGTCAGGGAGAGATTAACTTTTAGGAAAATTATGTTGTGAAGTGCAATTTATTAAAACAGTAAATTTAATTCACTTCATCATACCCGGAACTTCCGGTAACGCAATGTTTAAATAAGTAGTAGCACGGCTGTAGCATTTAGGTTGACTTTCAAGTATATCAATAATGCGTTGAGGTTCAACACGTAAGGTTCACAGGAACTGTTCTGTTTTCTAAGTTTTACGAAAGTCGAATTTGATGCAGAATATGCGATTACCTTGTTACATAAGCTTCTGGCGGGAGCATTTTTAGAGTATTCTAGAGGCATGGCCACTGTTACCATGAATGAGAATCGCCCACATGCTCCAATAGCAAGTCTCAACCGCAAAAAGACCGAAATTGACCTGTGGATCGAAGTTTCATCGAGTGACTTCCACGGTTTCAAGATGACGAACAATTCGCACAGTTCCGTTATTCAACATGACAAAAAATAACGTTTGCATATAACTGGACTTTATCATTTTAATAATATTACATTATGAATATTCAAGCTGAACGCATATTTGAAAAACCCCAAAAGTCATAATAATCGAATCAGCATTCGTCAGTTATTACTCTGAATAAACTGCTCGAAGCTGTGCTCCTCGAGACAGGGATTGTGAAAACTTGTGCTCATTTACTAGTATTTCCTGTCAGCTGCCACGAACTGCAGTTGTCAGCCGATGCGCGAAGCTACGGTTCTGACGTAAACGAATAACTTAATCGCTATGGGCGATAATCCAAGTCTTATCACAAGGTGACCTAATTGTTAATTATGGCATGA